CGACTGGGCTTAGGCTGACTCGGGACAGAGGCTGCCAGGGCGCTGTCGGGCGTCCCTGGGGCTGCTGGGCGCGCGGACAGGCACTGGGCCGTCACTGCACACGCAGTGGGCGTCGCTAGTGACCATGACCGGCCCCTTTTCGACTTTTTGGAGACTACTAGGGACATGCAACTTATATCACTTCAACATGATACAATAGGCACAAAAATGAAATAAAATGCTATGAGACCTCGGGTAAAAATGTATGGGGTCACCGAACCAACTTCTTAATCTTGCATAAATGAGTATGTCCGAGTATAATACATCAAAAATCATGACTAAGGAGGCTAAAATGTTGGCTTATACTTGCATGCACATTAATATGGCTCGGGGGCAAAAATACCCTAAACATCACAAACTAGTTGACCGAACAACTGACCTCAAAACATGCTCAAACTTATACATCTTCTTTCTCATGATTTATAAGGCATATTTAGCTAACAAAATCGGCATAATCATGCAATGTACTAAAAATCCGATTTTAAGCCTTTAATTTCCAAAAATTCGAAACTCATGGAAAATGACATGCATGGCTTCATTTCTCTTCATGATAAATCTTATTTTATCATAAAATAGCTGAGAGAAAAGTTTATCTCAAGCTAACCTTCACCAAAGGAAAACGAGTGCTAGGGCTTGGGCTCGGGTCACTCGCGGCTTAGAAAGGCTTGGGCATAACTTGGGTGAAATGGATGAGCTTAGAGGGTTCCAAAAGACTTATAAAATACTAAGAAATACTTAGAAAGTGATAAGCATCGTGAGAACTTGCTTGGAGATGGTCGTGGCTTGGTGGTTCCTCCTTCCCGGGTGGCACGGGCGCGTAAGTGAGCAAGGTGAGTGGTTTCTTGGTTCTTCCTCTTATATTTCTAAGTATGGACGAATAATTATGAGACTAAGATCTTATAAGGTCTGAATAATTAGTCTTAAATAGACCTAAGGGTGTTGGGTTTCAAGACTTTGTCAAGGGGACATAATGGGAACAAAACTACTACATATGCACCTTGGTTGTGGGGAGGAGACCAACATGCTTTCTTGGGTGGTGAGGCACGGTTTTTGGAGGGTCAAAAGAGGGGACAACTGAGCTTTGGTCATAGACCCAAGGTAAGTGGGGTATTGGTCCTATCAAAACTATTAAAATAATCATTCTTGAAGTCCCACTAACACACCAAGACTTGTTGACTTTGACTCACATTCCCTAGGGCCAATTGGGCTGAAATAACTCCTTAGGAACCTGGTTGCATTGTCTCAAAATTGGGCTCGGTGAAAGGGGGCTGGATTTTGAGATTTTGGGCTTGGAAGCCAGACTGCGCTACTGGGCGCGCTGAGCGTTGGGCTTGGCCCTGGACGCGGCCCAGGGCTGCTGAGCGCACGGCTGCACGGCCTGGTTGCATTGTCTCAAAATTGGGCTCGGTGAAAGGGGGCTGGATTTTGAGATTTTGGGCTTGGAAGCCAGACTGCGCTACTGGGCGCGCTGAGCGTTGGGCTTGGCCCTGGACGCGGCCCAGGGCGCGTGGACTGCGGCCTGCTCGCGTGAATTCGCTTGGGGCGCGTTAAAGGGACTTGCCAAGGCTTGAAACATGATTCCAACACTTAGAAAAAATGTAGCTATGTATGATTATGATTTGTACAAGGCTCAGCCATGACTTAGGCTCGGTTCGAACCTCTTGGAAGCGGGCGGCTCGGTTAAATGCTAGGGCTCGAGAATGCAAGGCTAAAGGCTTGACTTGGCACGCTCAACACTTAGAAAATATTCTAAGTATTGTATTACTAAAAATTACTCAGAAATGACTTGGAAATTTATTCGTATCGAGACTAGGGTTCGAGGCTAAAATTCTCGAGTCGACTAAATTAAACTTATCAACCCAAATTAATGGATTGATCTTGACCTTAACTTGACATAGAAAATTCTAACAGATGATCTAACATAATTAAGCATTTAGCCTATAAATTAAATAAATCTTGAATTTCTGAAATTTACAAATTTCATTTTAAAGTCGAGCAGTGAAATTGTCTTAATATTATAAAAATGATCGGGGCGTTACATCGTGCTGCCTCCGATTTGCACAAATCGGCCAGATGGCTAGGGGGGCCTAGGCGGCCCTAGGCGCTCCTAGGCGGGTTCGGCGACCAGGAGGTTAGGCGGCGTCTAGGCGGGAATAGGCAAATTTGCAGTTTTTTATATTTTATTTTTTATTTTTTTTGAAATACTAGTTACATTATTTTGTTCTATTATTTTCTTAAATATATATTAATATTATTATTTGGACTATGGTGTGTGAATTTATTATAAGTTGAAATAGTTTTATTTTGTAGGTAGTTAAAATAAATAAAAAAAAAAAAAAAGTATTTAATATTGATTTCTGGGCCCCGTCTAGGTGCTCTAGGCGCTAGGCGCTGGTCGAGCGCCTAGCGGGCGCCTAGCTACTTTTAGAACACTAGTTCTAATGCGTGCAAAATTATTTCTCCATTTTGTAACAATATAGCTACATATATAGATATAGATACATATAGATAAATAGATAATGACATTAATGCTAGAATATCACTTGTGAGTTGTCCCATGTCGTTTATACATGGAAAATAGAGTATCTATAAGTTGAGCGGACTACTCCTCCTTTCACCAGTTGCTTTTGGGATGTAACCTCATTAAAGTGGAACTAGTCTCACTCTCTTACATTGGGCTTCACTGATTATCAAAAAATTTGACAGACATGATTGAGTTTATTTTTTTTAACCATCTATTGTTGGAGATCCATTATTTACAAACTAGCTCACAAGCAGGTTCTCCGGCTCAAATAAGATTTAAAGTTGTTAGAGTGATTTTGTGAATATTGTATTTTTGGTATAGATAGATTTTGGTATCTTAGAGATTTAGTCTATATTATTTTAGGGCTTCTCTTGTATCTATATATTGGGGCTCTGGTAAATCTACATGACAATGTTTTTGGGTGAAACGAATTGTTTTTCGCATAATTGTCACGGTATAAGAGATAGGTCAATTTTTTTTCAGATCTTAAGTCTCAATCAACTGAGATTCATATTTTTCTCTCTTCTTGCTGCTCTCTCTAATTTTTTTTATACTCCCTTTTGGCTCCTCTCCATAAACAGACGAGCAAGTTTAAAAAAAAACAAAAAAAAACAAAAAACGGAGGATTGAGTTGCAGATTTAATTTATGTGGGCATTTGGTTGAGTAGGCATTTAAGGCCTTGAATTATTTGTTGGTGCGTT